TGAATGTCGGATAATGAATTAATAGATGTGTTAAATATGTGTTAAATATACGGTGGCCCTGAGAGGCCAAACGGACTGCAACTTAAGAAAACACCAGCAAAAAGAAAAACACTGCAAAAGCACACAAACACAACGGAAATAAGAAAAATGACAACGGAAACAGGAAAAAACAGATTTCCAAAAGCACAAGGGAAGTGTTTCTGGGGAGACAAGAACCCGACGGACCAGTTGGAGGAACCCAAAACAAGCTAGGTGTGTTTTATCATGATTCCTATAATACTGATGACGGATTTTTAGGCTAATAGTTAGGCTAACACACTTACCTCTTATCTTTTCTTTCCTCACAAAACCGATAGATCCTCCACTTCTTTTAAGTCTCTCCCAGCGCAATTCTTAGCATATTTTGGTTCCTGCAACTGGTCCGTCGGGTTATTGTCTCCCCAGAAACACTTCCCTTGTGCTTTTGGAAATCTGTTTTTTCCTATTTGTGTTTTCGTTTTTCCTATTTGCGTTTTCTTTTTTCTTATTTCCGTTGTCGTTTTTCCTATTTCTGTTTTGTTTTTTGTTTTTTTCCTATTTCCGTTGCCGTTTTCCTGTTTTCTTAAGTTGCAGTCCGTTTGGCCTCTCAAGGACACCGTATAAATATCAAAAACGTGTCAGAGTAAGTCGGTAAAAATGTTCTTAAGAACGTTTACAACTTTTAAAGGGCATCCTAAGATTTTTATTGGTTTACGGCCACATAGAGATTAGTGGAATATGGTTTAATAGCTGTATTTTGGTAAATTGGGTACTAATTATGTTTAGCAGTTGAACCGCATGCATTGAAAGTGCACTGAACCGCTGTCCATGGTGCTGGCAGCAGCTTTCTTCTGTTTTGTGTCGTTATAGTCTGGTGCTGTCCGTTGTGCTGAATATTGGGGGGTGTACAAAAATATAGATGAATAATAATTTTAAAAAAAAGATCATTAATAATGCAAACGAATTTATTAAACTGTATATGTCATCCAAAAAAACGTAACTTGTGGGTTATTCTGCATGGATTTTAATTCTGTTATACCTTATATTAAAAAAAAAACATCTTATATTTCGGGTCATGTAACCGAATACAGAAGTGTCACAAGATGCCGCTAGAGACCATGCAAAAAAATATAGTCGTTGGCGTTTAGAAACTCCTCCTCATTTAATGACGAAAAGATGAAACGTCACCATCTGGCATTGCTTTGTGAAAGAAGCGCACAGACGATCAAGGCCCTAATGAGTGAGGATCCTTGGCGAGAGTGGATACATGAAGGGATATTTTTCATATTTGGCGTTTCTTTCCAGGAAGTATAAATCAGGATTTCATCCTTGTGTATAAACAGCGATGGCTGCTCGAAGACAATGGGATAATATTTGGAGTCTGTTGTTCAGCCTTCTTTGTCTCTGTGAATGGTCCGTGGCTCAGATATCCTATTCCATTTTTGAGGAGGTGGACAAAGGCGCTGCAGTGGGAAATCTAGCGAAGGATTTAAATCTTAGTGTGCAGCAGCTTCCGTCAGCGGGTCTTCAGATTACATCTGGGTATAAATCCTCGTATTTTGATATCAATCTTGAATCTGGAGTACTTTTCGTTAGCGAGAGAATAGATCGGGAGGAGCTATGTCCTAATACGGTAAAGTGCTCTTTAAATATCGAGGCCATATTGAGTAACCCTCGCAGTCTTCATCGAATTGAAGTTGTAATCAATGATATTAATGACAATGCCCCGTCTTTTCAAGAAGATATATCTACAATTGATATGTCTGAGTCCTCATATATCGGAGAAAGGCATCCGTTGCCGATAGCGCATGACCCAGATGTTGGCGTTAACTCAGTGAAGACTTATAAATTGAACGCGAATGATTATTTCTCTTTAGATATACAGAGTACTGGCGACCAGAGTGTGTCTGCTGAGTTGGTGCTGCAGAAAGCCTTAGATCGAGAAAAACAAGCTGTTATTGAGCTCACTCTGACTGCGATAGACGGAGGAAAATCTCCCAAAACGGGGACTTTGCAAATACACGTTAATGTTCTGGATGTGAACGATAATTCACCCGTGTTCAGTAAATCTCTCTACAAAGTCCAAGTAATTGAAAATGCAAATATTGGCACACCGTTACTAACACTCACTGCGAGTGATTTAGATGATGGTATTAATGGTCAGGTTGTCTACACATTTACAGAAAGAGGACGTTTAAACCCTGATGACAAATTTTCCCTGAATAATAATACTGGGGAAATTACTGTGCGAGGAAATATTGATTATGAGGAAAACCAAGCATTTGAGATCCGCGTTCAAGCCCGAGACAGAGGAACTCCTCCTCGCAGTGCACATGGCAAAGTTTTAGTTGAAGTCATTGACGTTAATGACAATGCTCCAGAAATCTCAGTGTCTTCAATCATGAGTTCAGTGAAAGAGGACGCTGAAATTGGCACAGCTGTTGCTATGGTGACTATCACTGATCAAGACGGGGGTAAAAATGGCCTCACAAACTGTAAGATAACAGGTTCTGTGCCATTTAAATTAAAATCCAACTATAAAAACTATTATTCTTTGCTAGTGGACGGGCTTCTTGACAGAGAGACTGTTTCCCGATATGATTTAAATATTGTAGCTACAGATGAAGGGACGCCCTCTCTGTCCAGCACAACTGTTATCACTATTCACGTTTCTGATGTAAATGATAACCCTCCTAAATTCCCGAACTCTCCAATTACTCTGTATGTGAAAGAGAATAGTCCAATTGGAACTACTATTCATAAACTGACAACGACAGATCTGGATTTAAATGAAAACGCAAAATCAATGTATCATTTAATTAGCAGCTCTTCCAAGACCACGCAAATGGCTTCAATGGTAACTGTTAATTCAGAGACAGGAGATATAGTCAGCTTGCAGTCTTTTAACTACGAGGAGTTAAAAACTTTCCACTTTAAAGTTCAGGCCACAGACTCTGGTGTTCCTCCGCTTAGCAGCAACGTCACTGTCAACATTTTAATCCTGGATGAAAATGATAATAATCCAACAATTCTCGCTCCTTACTCTGAGCATGGCTCCGTTAACAGTGAGA